CTACTGTCCCAAGGGATCTGCCTTTCCTATGCCCTGTGAGAATGGGACCTATCAGTCATGGGAGGAGAGGGATTTAGGGGGTCTAGCAAAAGTAGGGCTGTGTATTGTGATAAAAATTGATTTTGTGTCACTGAGAGCTGAGTCTCACTGAGACTTAGCAGGACAAAAAGGATTTTGAATTGCTTCCTTCTTTCTGTTAAGGTTCTACTAAGTCAGTGCTGGATGGGACTAGACAAACAGAAGCATCAGCATCTGCCAAGAGTGGAAGCCAGAACAGGCTTCTAAGAGTAAGAAGTTGTTGAAAGAGTAAGGAGAAGCCAAATCTTTCTCCTCTTTAGGGCAAAGAAACTTAATGCCCAGGAAAATACAAGGGAGCTTTTCCTGTCTAGCAGCTCGTGCATGCTACAAAAAAAAAAACAACCCACAAGAAGTACAGCTGCACAGACGCGATTCTGTTCCCTAGGTGGAGTTACTTGAATAAAACTTCAGACAGCTCCTTTGTAGACATCTGTACCTGAGCTAGTTTTTTGTACTCCTGTAGTCAGTGGCAAGAGGCACTTCAGGGCTGCAATTTGTCTCTCTTATTTTACTTGTCTGCCTTAGGATGAGATGAATTGCACTTGAAGTGCGGTTCCTCTAGAAGTGCTGTTTCTCTCCAGTTACTGCAACACGATTCTGAACAACTGCATCAGAAGTACACACAATGGAGCCCACGTCCTGGGTTTAGCTTGAATATGTTGATGGAGAATGACATTGCTTGTCATGTCTTATAATGTTTCCTGAGCAAGATGCTGCTTTTTGTATCCTAGGTTCTGGAGCCCACACTCCTGAGCTGTGCCCTGCTGGGTACTTCTGTCTGCCAGGTACCAACTTCAGTACAGAGCATCCATGTCCAAAGGGTACCTTTGGCCCCAGGACTGGTGCCACCAGCACCTCTGACTGTGAGCCCTGCCCAGCAGGTAAGCAGGGACTCGGCACAAAAAAAAAAACATGGAGGGCATAAATGGAAAGGTTGAATAAAAATATGACTTCCTTCAGGTTATTGACTCCTTCACCTATCTTCTGTGCTGGCCATTTCATTGAGATCACTTTCCTGTTTATTTTAGGCATGTATTGCTCAGCACCAGGTCTTTCACAGCCCTCTGGATTTTGCTACTCAGGTTACCATTGTGCCAAGGGAGCCATCAGCCCAACCCCTTTCAAAAACAGGGTGAGTGAGCACTGGCAAACAGCACAGTTGACCTTGCATCCTGAGGACGAGGACTGGGACCCTCGCAATGTCGTGGCTTCTGGTGTTACATTTTCCAAGTCTTAGTGCTTTGCACAGGGTTGCTCTTTCCCACTGCTGCTGCCCTTGGTAGCTGCTCAGATGAACTGACATGCTGCTCTTAATGTCTGCTGGAATATTTTGCAGCCTGCTAACAAGTAATGGCCAGACATCCCTTTCTGTAGGTATCACTGGAGTGTGCCTGTCTCAGGTCTTTTCCACACAATGAGAGCAGTGACTGGGTAGCTGTGGCTCAGCAACCAGCACTTCCAGTGCCCTTTTTGTACCAGCTGTGGTCTGCATTTAGTTTCAGTGGCAGAAAACTTGAAGAATTCAGCCCATGTGTACCCTTTCCAGAACCTGTCTCTGTAGTACTTTGGGCCAAATCTTGTTTTGATAACATTTTTTTTTCCCTCTGTTTCTGTTTGTTTGTTTCTTTTTCCTCACGCAGGTGGAATTTGCTGGCTCTGTGTTGCCAGGTAATGATATCTGTCCTGCAGGGCATTTCTGCCCCAATGGAACTGAGAATCCCATGCCTTGCCCTCCTGGGTCCTTCTCTGCTGTCAGGGGCCTGCAGGCAGAAGAGCAGTGCCAGCCCTGCCCTGCTGGCCGATATTGCAGCAGGGCAGGATTGTTTGATCTGGCTCAGACGTCGCTGTGTAATGCAGGGTGCGGTGAGACTGTCACTTGCTAGTGGGAAAATACAGCTGGCAGGATTGCTGTGTAGGCTGGAGCAGAGGGGCATCCAAACTAAACACTGGGCCTGAATATATCTTGCCCAGTCCCTTGTGTGCAAATATTTACAGTGAAAAATAACTACACTGCAGAGCATTTGCTCTGAGCTCTCTAGGTTACATGCTGCTGTACAGCATCTGCTTGGTGGTCCTGGCATGTGCTTCAGAGCCAGTTCTCCCTATTTGTTTGCCTCACGTTCTGCCCCAGCCTTCTACACAGCCTTTTACTGTTTTTACTGTAGGCTTAATTAATGACAAGCCCTTTATTTACCATAAGACATGCTTGCTGTGAATTTGCATCCTTTTTTCCCCTCTGTTTTCTCTCTGCTCCCACCAGGTGGTGCAATAAGCAGCGACAAGGAAGCAGTGCTGGCATCAGCCAAACAGCAAAGTGCTGTCAGCAGTATTTGCCCATCTCATGAGTGTGCCTTGTTGCAAAAGGCCATGCAAGCTCAGTTCCTTTAATCTGTGAAAGAAAAGCTCAGAAGTGATCTCAATACAGTGCATGTAACAGGATTTGGTAGGAAGAGATTTCTGATAGCTAACAGCTCTTGAATCTGTTCTCTTTTCTGGAGAAAATCACAACCGCTGCTCAGTATAGCAGGCCTTGATTCTGAGTGAACAAGTGCTGACAGGCAGCTTTGCTGTCCTTTTGCTTGATGCTGCTCCTTTTAGCAGGCATTTCCTCAAGGACTATGAATTGCTTCTTCTCTACAAGCTGCATCCACGGGACGCAGTGAGATCATGGCTTTCAATTCCTTCCTGCTCAGTTATCAGAAATGATAATTTTTTTGTATTTCCTCATCCTTCTTGAGGGGAGTGGTAAAGGGAGGCGTAGCATAGAAACAGGTGACATTAATGCAGAGGCCGATGAGAATATTGAAGGGAAACTAAGCAGAAACAGCAGGAGCTGAACACTTGGGCTTTGTGCTTTGAAATAGACAAAAAACTTAATTTTTCAGGCTTTTTTTTTTACCAGAATGATGAGAATACCTTCCAGACAGCTTAGTGAGGGGTGGGGAAGAAGAAAAAAAAAGGGGGTTCTACAAGGATTTACACATGGATATTAAATTGGTAGGTTAGGGCACGGGAGGAGCCCAACTGAAATAAAACACATCTTTAAGGAGTGTTTGATAACTTGGTGACCTTTGATTAGTACTCCCCACATCTGCTTTTTCTGAACAGGGTTGTGGGCCCTTGGTTCCAGCACAGAATTTTCTTCTTATAGGTATGTTTGTCTGGAAGGAAGCTCTGCTCCCTGCCCTTCTGATGGGGTTTATGGATACAGATGTCCTAGTGGCTTCTACTGTCCTGCTGGCACTGGACTAGAACTGCCCTGTGAGCCTGGCACGTTCAGCCCTATGCCTGGGGCAAGTACTTGCCTCCCTTGCCCAGCTGGTATGGCCTGCAGCCATGCAGCCACTGCAGAGCCACTCAGCTGCCCCAGAGGTAAGCAATAATATGTGCCACAAAACCACTGGCATGCAATCAGAAGTGTGATGGGTGCCTGCACACCTCTTTCTGTCTGACCATAGCAGTATGGGAATGGGAGATTTGCAGCTGGGAGAAGCAAGACCAGCATTCCTGCTTATTCTTTCTTTATTTTCTGAGCAGTGCCTCATTCACCTCTCACTGTACAGGTTATTATTGTCCAGCTAGGACTGCTGCTCCCCTGCCATGCCCTGAAGGGACACTAAATACCATGGAGGGGGCATTGGCCCCCACTGCTTGCAAGCTGTGTCCAGTGGGGAGGTACTGCAGAGGAGATGCTAACTGGGAACCTGATGGTGAGTTTGATTCAGAGCTCTTCTTTCTGTCTCCATTTAAATACCTCCCTGGCCCTATTTCTTATGTTTGTTCAGAGTAGCTGTTGCTCAACTAAAATGCAAAGGTTAGGTATATGAGCAGAAGAAAAGCAGAACTCTTTCCATGGAAAGAAGTTTATCCACAGAATCTATGAACAAGTTTGAGTCTTAGGAATAGTTTAAGAAAAATAAATAAAAATACCAGATGAGGTCAGTGCATGTAAAGAAGGGAGGTGATGAAGGCCTCAGATGACGGAGGAGGAGAAGCAGACCGAAGTTGAACAGTGCAGGATATCAGTAGAGCTGTAAAATGAGCCCAGGATGGGATTCAGCTTCTCTCCTATTTCTGAGGTTTTAAGGAGATGCTTCCATCCTTTCCAGTGACCATTTCATTACCCTCTCTGCTCTCCCGTGGCAGGTCTGTGTTCAGCTGGGTACTATTGTGAAGGAGGAGCCACTGATGCAGTTCCACGTGGGACACCAGCATTCCCTCTCAGTGGGCCCTGTCCACTTGGACATTATTGTCCTGAAGGCACTCCTTTCCCAGTTGCCTGCCCAGTTGGGACCCTGAACAACAGCACAGGTGTGACTTCACCAACAGGTTTCTCTTGTAGTCCACAGCAGTGGGGGGCTTTGTTGCTGGTGGCCAAGGTGATGGGTTTTCCCTTGGTCCCTGAAAGATAATTATACACTTAGTGAAGGCTGAGCCATGCCTATATGTTATCAGTGCAAATAGATGCTTACACCGCTGTGACTGATCTAAGGATGCTGTAGGGATGCTTCCATGTTTTCTGTCACTGAGCTGGAGTTCTGTTTTTGTTTTTAGGTGGTACCTCTCCAGAGAGCTGTGTGCCGTGCTATCCTGGGTCTTTCTGCGCTAGCATTGGTTTGAGTTCTCCAACAGGACCTTGTACTGAGGGATTTTACTGCCCAGCAAACTTCAGCTCCTTCAGCCCCACAGCATTTCTCTGCCCAAAGGTACTGCTCAGTGACATCAGGGCAGTGGAAGAGGTGGGTCGGCTCTGGGCAGGTGTTTTCCTCTGTGGTAAAGCCCCCTACAGGCCTAATTGAAATGGTGATTATATCCACAGGGAATATTGCTTTGGTAATGCTGGGGTTCACCCTTTACACAGAACCTAAGTTTATTGCAGTATCCGTGGAATCCTTTATCATTGCCAGGGTCACTTCTGCCAGTTAGGAGCAGCCCACCCAACACCATGCCCTGCTGGGGAGTACCAGCCAGCCAGGGGCTCTGCATCCTGCATTCCATGCCAGAGAGGATTCTACTGCCAGGAGCTGGTGGCTGGAGACCCCAAGAGCTGCCCACCACATACTTACTGTCCTACAGGTATGCTGAAACTGGCACACCAGCTATGCCACGGACTCAAACCTTGTGTGCCTCATTGTTGTGCCAGAGTTGTACAGACCCAGTGTCATCTTTATAGGCCAGGGAATGAGGAACTGGCAAAACTGGCAACAAACATTGTGTTGTGCTGCCTTGCTTCCTGGGAGGCATTTATTACTCTGATATGGTTGTAGGGTCATGTCAGATCATAAGGTCTTCCTAGGATGTTTTATTTTCTGTGTCAGGCACACAGTTTCCTCAGACGTGTCCTGAAGGCACCTTTACTCCTCCAAATACGACTGGCCTCTGGAATGAGAAGCAATGCCTGCCTTGTTTACCTGGTCACTACTGCAGGTAATGACCATTCATTTCCATCTGGCACTTTTTCTACTACCTCCTAAGCCGCTCAGCATCCTTGCTGATCAGTCAACACTAAATTCTTCCCAGCTTATCTACCATCTGTGTCTCAGAGAAAATAAGCATAACTCAGACACAGCTTTTGCATACAGAGCTGTGAACTTAGAGAGCTATTGCAAAGCAGTCTGACACTATCATAGCATTATAAAGGAGCACCTAAAGGAGGTAGATAGGCAATGGTTGTGAAAACATGGAAATAAGCCAGAAGGTTCAGCCCAGTGGAAGGTTGTTTGCAACTTTATCTAAAGCAATTTGCCCTCACGTTCATGGAATTTGAACTTAAAATTGTTTGGTTTGCTTCAGTCATCTGTGGTTTTCTAAGTGGAAAAAATGGGTCTATTTTTATCTCTCTTATCAGTGTAACCACTGCTCTGCTTCTGCACCAAATCTTTATCGGCAGGTCTTATGTAAATTCTTCTGGTTCTCTCTGCTCCAGGCGTGGACAGCTAGTGGGGAAATGTGCTGCTGGATACTTCTGCCTTGCTGGGAGCTCTCAGCCCACTCCACAGGGCCCTGGCTTTTCCTGGCGCTTTCTGTCTGGATGCCAGTGGGGTCAGGCATGTGCTGGGCTGTGTCCTGCAGGTGAGAATCTTTGGAAGTGTCATAAGTGTATGTAGAGAGTTGCTTCTAACTAAGTAGAGAACATCTGTGGTCTTGCATAATATATGGTGATACCCACTTTGAGGTTGTCATGCTCATGTAAAAGCTCATCTGCTTTTACATCTTTCAACCAAAGAAGTTTGCTCGATGAAAGATGCCACCTTAAATCTGTGGTGCCAGATTGCTGGTCCAGAGATGTCTGAAGGCTGTTGATTTGGCTGTCAGTAGGCACAGAATCCCAATAACTGCATAGATGTTAATCCTATGACAGGAGATGCTTGCTGAATCATTTTTTGCCCAGTAGAAGGCTTCTCTGTTTTACTTTCATCCCTTCCCTGTCTATTTCTGCAGGTTTCTACTGCCTGGAGGGCTCTGAGTTACCTATACCATGTCCTGCCAATACTATTAGGGATGTTCCAGGAGCTGGGCAGAAGGAAGACTGCCTGCCCTGTCCACCAGGCCACTGGTGCAAAGCAGGTTGGAGTCTGGGATAATAGTGAGGGGAGGGAATGAGATTTTCTTTGTGCATATCCCTGACTGTTCAGACTAACTTTGGTATCAGACACTGCGCTTTGGATCAGTACTTGCCATGGGACGTGGTGTCTGTGATTCTGGAGTCAAAGCTAGTCTTCAAATAGCTCTGTGTTCCACCTGCCAGAAGAGGGATTTGAACTGTCTTTGTTTCTTGAATTGTGGCTGTAGATCATACTCTTACATACAGTGGTTTAGGAAGGACCCTGGTAGGATTCAGAAGAAAAAAAAGGTGTTGCAACCACAGTGAAGAGGTGGCTCCTTAAAGCTGAATTTTCTGTTTGTTAGGAGACTCAGAGGCTTCTCCATGTCCCTCAGGACACTACTGCTTTGGAAGTAATGGCAGTGACCAAGACAGTCTGTTGGCACCTCAGAAATGCCCTCCACATACTTACCGCAAGCTCCCAGGAGCTCAGAGCCTGACAGATTGCCAACCATGTCCTCCAGGCTATCACTGCCCTCTGTCAGGTAAGCAGCAGGTGAAATCAAATGCTTTCCCACCACAGGAGTTGATTACAAAACTCCCTGAGATGATATAGAAAGGGAGGGGTAACACTCATAGTGTGCTTATAGCTCTTCTGTAAACCCCCTCCTGGCCTTTCAGCCTCCCTTTCTTCATTTCTTTTCTTCTCTTCCTAACAGGTCTAACCAGTTTTGAGGATTATCCATGCCCACTGGGATACTGGTGTCCTGGTAAAGGGGATGCTTTCTTTTGTCCACCTGGCACTTCCAGGGTACACCCTGGTGCAAAATCACTGGAAGAATGTGATCCCTGCTCAGCTGGCTACTACTGTCCAGACCCAGCACAGACAGGGCTGCCTAACACCCAAGGAGTACCTTGTGAACCTGGCTATGAATGCCCAGCAGGTGACATAATATGTTGTTTTATTTTATTTCTAGCTGTTTAAGCCCAGACCAGTGAAGAGTGCACAGCAGGCAGGGCCATGGCATATAGATGGCATAATGATCAGAGCCTCATCCTTGCAGCAGCCCTTGGTGGAAATGGCTCCTGATGGAGTGGCTTTAGAAGTGGATTTAGTAACCTGAAGCCTTTTCCTGGCTTTTGGCCTTTGAATTCCCATCTCCTCTTTCTCTGGCCTCCCTTCTTGTTCTCAGTTAGCTGGGATTCCAGAAGGAGGTGATCTGGGCCTAGAAAAGGAGCAGATATCTTTTGTTATCCAGGCCTTAGATACTCAGTTGTGTTAGCATTTCTTGCTTAACAGCAAATTGGTTCTGTGTGTCCTTTTGTGAGCAGTAGGAAAAGTGGAGTTTTTATGGACAGTAATATTTAACAAAGCCTTCTTGATCACTCTCTCGCCAACACGTTCTCTCCTGTTCTGAGAATGCCACATAAATCAATCACTGATTCTTCTTTTTTCACCAGGTTCAGTCAATCCAAAGCCTTGCAGGCCTGGCTCATACTGCAGTGCTCGCACAGCTGTGCCCTCCTTGTGCCCTGCTGGGTATTACTGTCCTGAAGGCTCATCAACATACAATAGCCCTGAGCAGCTGTGAGTACTTAGCATGGCTGGTGGAGCCAGCTTTGTTTTAAACTCTTTGAGGGACTTGTTTTAAACACAGGCTGCATGCATTGCACAAAAGTAAAGGGTATCTTCATAATCACACCTATGGATCTGGTGACTGCTAAGGCTGCTGGAGGATGGGTTATGAGTTGTATCAGTTAGCCTGAGCCTGGAGCCAGCCGAGAATCATTTTTAATTTTGCACTGGTGGTTGATTCCTGAAGTCAGAATGTTTTCAGAGATTTTTCTTCCCTTTTCTGCCTTCCAGATGTGTGTTTCCCTATTACTGTCCCCCAGGCAGTGCCCACCCACTGCCCTGTGAAGGAGGATACATGGCTCTCAGCTCGCCTGGGCCAAGGGATTCCTTTGAGAAGTTCTGCAGAATCTGTGATGCAGGCAGCTATCGTAATGACTCTTTCATCTCTGCTCCCTGTCAGCCCTGCCCAGCAGGCTTCATCTGCCCACAAGGTAAATGTGGCTGCTATGGAGAAGTTGTGCAAGAAATAACTTCAGTGGTAACCAGAAAGCTCTGCGTGGGCAAAGCTCTCAATCCTGTACGGTTTTAAATCCCTGGTGTGGGTTGTCATGTTGGTTGGTGGAGCATTTCTTTTGGTAGGTTGTTAGAAGTGAGAGAAATACATCAGAGATGGTTTGGATCTTGTTGTTCTTTCTCTCAGGATGACTTTGGCCCCCGCAAGCACTATTTTCTCTAATTTTGTGACTCAGCTGCAAGGCCAAGAGTTAATATGATGGAGTATGAATGTAGGTGTTCAAACCTTGCTATGCGACAGCCAGTGTTGCATGAATCCTGCTGGGTTAGGAGATAGGAGGAATCTGTGTACAAGCATTTGAAGGACTCCACTCATTGAGCTCCTCAGTAAAATGCAGTTGTGTGTGATCTGGTGCTGTAAAGCATGGGGGAAGATCATGCCTGTCCACTTGAGCCTCTGGATTTGTCCAGTCAAATCACTGGGAGAAATGGATTTGGATGTTTATATATGAATAAGTTAATTTGGAACGTATCGAACGTTGGATGATTTTACATATCCATGTGTATGTGTTTATATGTGTCTGCATGTACATCTATAAAGGTGTGTGTATAATTGGAACAGATGAGTGACCTTCTGCCTGTCCTAACACTTGCTCAGTTCCATAAGCAGTGTCTGTGTCTGAGACAGCCCCACCACCTTCTCTAGGCAGTGAGACTTACCACAAGAAGCCTTGTCCCGTTGGCTATTACTGCCCTCCCCTGGCATCTGCCCCTCTCCCCTGTCCCCCGGGGACCCATGGGAGCAACAACTTGGCCAAGCATATAGAGGATTGTCAGGCCTGTCCTGCTGGCACCTTCAATCACCTTCCTGCTCAGGCTGCCTGCTTTCCCTGTGGCAGCTCCTCTTCATCACAGTCGGGTGAGTTGCTGTTCTTAAGCGAAGCTTTGCCTGCAGTTAAGAGAGAGCCTAACAAGAAAGTTACCTACAAATGTGATTTTTTTTCACATGCTTCCCCAATGGACTGCAAGTTTTGGGATCCTCATGATGCTATGTGTGCTAACAGAACCCACCTGCTCTTCTTCTGCCCTGCTTAGTGGATGGAAGATTCCATTTTCGAAGTTATATTTTGTTCTCCTGTACTCTGTCAGCCAAGGGGTTTTGATCTCAATTCTTTCAAAGGGAGGAAGAGATGAGCAACCCCACTAATTCTTGCTCTGTCATTGCCTTGAAAGCAGTGGAGTGCTTTTGCCTTGAGTTGCAGAACTTGCTATACGTGCAGCTGTGATTTTGAGACAAAACTGGGCAGTGTAACCATGTCCAGCTGAGACTGATAAAGCAGGAAAAGACTGGAAAAGGAGAGGGTGAGAAGCTAAATATACAGTAGAGAGTGTAGTACTCTACCAACATTTCAAGTGAAGTGGATTTAATAGTGTTAAGGCACAAAGCCACTGCTAAGAGGGGCTCAGCAGCCTTGACTGACTGAGTCCTTATCCTATCTAGTGGCTTAACATATAAATTGGTAGAGTGTTTGTCAAAATGCCACTGCTGCAAATTCCTGGATGGGTCTTTCTGCCCTTCTTTCTAAATGAATACTTTGAAAATGGTGTAACGATTGTGTGTTGGTAGAGCAAAAGGTAGATTGGCTCAGTTCTGCTGTGATGGTGGGCAAGCAGACTCCAGGTGTGCCACTACAAGCAGTGTGATTTGGTCAGAGCACTCAGCACTGGAACTGCTCCTTTGCTGTGGGCACAGATTTTGCCAGCTGTATTCCCTACCTTGATTTCCACTCCAAATCCATCTTCCTCTCAGGTGCTACCAGCTGTACCTGCCATGGGCTGAACCGGGCTTTCCAGCACTCAGATGCCTCCTGTATCTGCCAGGCAGGTTACATTTACTATGATGAGCGAGGCAAGGAAAACTCTGACAGCAACAGTGATCAGGACTGCCGACCTCAGGTAAACCTTGGCTCCGAAATGAAGTTGTTGCGTGACATGTGAGTGAGAGAGTAATTCAGTGCTTTGGGCACTGCCTCAGCATCTGTGAGCAATCGCAGCTCAGATCACTGAACTGCTGCAGACACAAGAAAGTGCTTTGGCTGCTTTGTTTGGTAGGCATGACCCTTCCTTGTGATATAATGTCACTTGTCTCCTTTCATGGAATCTTGCAAGGCTAAATTCAGTAAGAGCCAGAGGCAAAAGATCTTTCTATGCAAAGACAATGGGGAGCAGCTAAAGCATCTCAGATGACTGATGCAGGAATTTAAGCCTCCGTGTTTTCAATACGGAATTCTTCATTAGGGCTGGTTGAGGAGTTTGGATGGGAAGTGAACTTGCCCTGATCTTTTTCAGTGCTTTTCAAGTTGCCCCTTAATGCCCCTTGTTGCATTGCCATTAGGTTGTGTGTCAGTGACAAGTGGAGAATTTTAAGGGTGCTGCTTCTCTGCTGAAACACTTGAGCTTATGTGACACGGATTGGATGTGCTGGTTTTCCAGGTGGACGAGCTCTGTGCTCCTGGAGAGATCCGTTTAGCATCTACACGCCGCTGTGTTTCTCCTGAGCAATATGACTGCTCTCCATCTTGTGGGCCTGCGGGTGGAGAGGTCAATGCAGAGCTGGGCATGTAAGTCTCAGCAGCCACTCGTTAAGGAACGCTTCACAATGAGTTCTGACTGGCTACGTTACTGATCCCATGAGGTCATTTCAGGGTAGGACTTTGGGAGGTGCTTTTGAGAAACTTTCTATTGCTGGAGCTGCTCTGTGTGGAAATACTGGCCTTCAGACCTCGTTCGTTGGCCTCATTCCTCAACCTGTGTTTTGAAAATTACCTGGAGGTCTTTGTGTGTTTGGGTGGAGACAACAGAATGGACACAGAGTGATACAGTAGGGCTGGACAAAGTTCCCTGAAGGAGACCTTTCCCGCATACCTCAGATTGAGTCCCCCTCGAGTTTTAGAGCAGAAATGAGTCCTAATCCCACCTTCTAGTGCTGACGGAAGTATTGAAACTAATGTTTGTCATACTCTTTTTCCCCTTTTTTATCCTCTTCCTGATATGGATAGCCCAGAAATCTAGTGGATTAAAATTATATTGTCACTTTCTACCAGTTTTTGAAAACAGAACTCTGGGAAGAATACATAACTCTGCTCCAGTACTGACACTGACCTCTATTAGAGGACAACAGAGGCTGTGTAGGAGAGTGGTGTATCACATTTTGGCCTGTTGTATGGTCCTTAGATTAAGGAAAAAGCATTGAAAAGCAACTATAGTACTGGATGAGCTGAACTGTGAGTTTGGTCCACCTTATTTACCATGAATATAGAGTAGCCCATTCACTGTATGGATTGTAAGTGAGATTGAGGCTAGCTGGACCCTCAACATATTGTAGCTGTATACTTGTGGATCGTAAGTAATGAGAATCTTTTTGCTGTGCAGATGTCACTGCAAACAGTACATCTCTGCTGAGGAGCTCTGTGACCAAATGTGTTTGCTGAGAGCCCCACGGATCTCCTTGGGATTTGGCATCAAGAGAGAGCTGTTTCTGAGGGTGGACGGTGGAGTCAGGGTAAGTGTGGATGAGGTACTGCTCTGTCACCTCTCTGTGAGCCTGTAAAGAACATTTATAGATTGCATTTAGATAAAGGGACCCTGGGAACTGATGTTACAAAGCTGTGAGCAGAGAGAAAGAACAGAGTCTTACCACATCTCATAACCCAGAGTAGGGACTAGGCAAGAGATGGGCACGTTAATGAGAAATGATGTTGTGGTAGAAAGCCTCGCTAGAGCAGTGTTGCACAGCTGATGGTAATGTTGATTACAAAGCAGGGTTTGAGTCCAGGGTTGCTTGTACCAGTGATCAGTGTTCCCTCCTGCTTTTAATAGGAAGTGACAAATGTTCTGGGCCCAGATGAACATGTGCAGAAGAGCCAGAGGGTGCATTTGGTTCTGTTTAATCCCAGCGGAGTGCTAGGTTTCATTGTCTCCAGCATGGATATCTTGGATGCATTTCTCTCAGGTAAGGCTTGAGAGCACCTTGAGATGAGCCTAATTCCCCGCAGGCTAAGCTGTCAACTCCCTTTCAAGTCATCACAACAAGTGGGCAGCAGTTTGGCACAAAGGGAATTCAGCATCAGAAAGCCCAAACTATTTACAAAGGGGAGAGGGATCTCTTTCTTTCTGGGACTAAACAACAGGAGCCCTCACTGCTATATAGTTAGCTCTGCTGGGAAAAAGGTCAAATTAAAATGATTTTGGCCTCCCAAGGAGCTAAAAGACAACTCCCTTCAGTGGCTAATCTGTCAGTTTGCATGTACTGGCTCTTGATTCCAATTGCTCCCAATGCATGGTAATGTCATTTAGAAATAGAACTCGGCCTTGTGAGCTCAAATCACTTACAGATACAAAATAAAAAGTTTTGCATTGCCAGGGGTTAGGAGCTTTCATATGCTGCTCCTTTACTTACTGTTTTTTTTCTGTTGCCTGTGGCAGGAGATTTTTCATCAGATCACTTGGAGCAGAAAGGTCATCGAGTCCAGAGGGCTCTCTTCAAAGATATCCATGCCTTGCCCCTTGTCCCTAACCCAGTGGTATGTTTGGAAGCAGGAGACACAATCCTTTTTCAGCTTAGCATCAATTCTCACAGTGAGTGTTGTGTGGGTAAATATATAACAAATATAAAATGCTTTTTGCTGATATATATATATGTGTCCAGACGTGTTTGCAGCAGTGACTGTGCATTTGGTAGTACTGCATGTACGAGCACATTCCTTCACCTCCCAGTCACCCTTGCCTTCAAGGGATTCATGATCTTTAGTCTGGCTCTGCCAGTGACTCATCTGACGTTTTTTACATTTTGGCTGGATTTCTGTAGACTACAGATAATACAGTTCCTCTGTCAGAAGAGCAGTGTGTTTGCTGGGGAGTAACGCACCCTTCAAATAAATGAGTTGACACTGTAGGGCTCTGTAAAATAAATCCAATTTGAAGCCAGCATCAGCTGTCCGAACTGAAGTGAGTCAGAGTTGCTGACATTGTGCCAACACTTCCCAGATCGTGCATCCAGCCACTACCCTGTTTATCAGAAGCAGCATCTTTATAACAGCAACCCTAGCTGGGATTATGGAGCCTTCCGAAGGCTGGACCACCTCATCCAGGAGACTCACCTCAACATCTCCTGGTAATATCTGGTGTGACTGATAGTGTGTGTGCTAGGTGTAGAACTTGGGAGCAAGTCTTCCGCAGAAGCACTGGGACTTTGGCAGTGGATAGCATGTGGAAATGCAGAAGTATGGTGTGTTTAAGTCCATGTATTCAGTTGTCATCCCTGCTGTAAGCTGAAGGACAATTGGATCAGTCGGTGCCTTCCTTCTCCCTTCTAGGTTTGCCCATGTTTTCCTGGAGTCTGGGACATTTGTATTCAGGGATAAGACCATTCAGGAGCACTTTTTGATTGTGACTGTGAACGAAGCAAATGTGGGCTGTGACCCCAGAGATGTGTCCTTCCAGCCCTCTTCTCTGTTCCAGCTGGCCAGACATGGGATTTTGAAGCAGCAGGAACTGAACTTAGCTCCTAACTGGGCTTCCATTATAGGTACAGCCAAAATGCTGTGATATGTTGAACTCTGATGCTTAGCTGTAGCCCTTATTGTACCTTCTTGGGTGTGTTTAAACCAGCATTTATTTAGAAATACCATCAAACCACTGTCTATGTCATTTTTAATCAATTTCCTCTGTGGAGTTTCCCTTCCCAAAGGTTGCTGCTCTCTAGCCAAGAACCTGCTTGTGTATGAGCCAAAGGGGGAGAGAGGGAGCAGTTGCATTTCTACCCACACCCTGCTTGAAGAATTCAAGTAATTGAGAACTTTGTTTCCCTTGGCATGAAAGCAGAAAATGTATGTTTCCATGATAAACTAAACTGGAATTAAATGCATCGTTGAAAAGTTCACTGAAGGCTAACCACAAGGGCAGTTAAGGTCTTTCCCAAAGCCCTATCTCTGTGTAAGTGCTCTGCCCATGCCAGTCTCTTGTCCTTCATTCAGAGGACAGCAAAACAGTAGAAATGATGTAATGGTTTGCAGGCATGAGCTTTGGTTCTGTCACCTTCAGATGCATGCACTGAAACTGCTTTGTCTCCTTGCTCACATGCAACACAGATCAAGGAGGGAAGGAGCAGAAGCCCGTGTCATGAAGATGAAAGTTGTTAAATGTCTGGTTTCTGTGGGAAGGAGAGCACTGAGTAAAAGCGTAAGGGGAGCCTGTGCTGTTGATGCACGCTGCTTCCTGTGTTCTTCACTTCTTGCCATCCATCTTGGTTTTCCCAGCGGTGCTCTTCATTCTGGGCTTCCTAATTGTGCTGCTGACAACCCTGGCTATTGTGCTGCAGCCCACTGTTCCTGTCCTCAGTCCTCTGAGGAGCTGGAAGCCACGATGGAGGAGCTTGGGTGAGCCGCACATCCCACCAGAATACATCCTTCTTAAAGAAAGGTGAGCTGCCTTAGCATGGTGGATAATCAGGAGCTTGGACCTTGACAGTACAGTCATGTCCTCTTGCAGTTCCTGTGTGATATACCCAGTGCTGAACTCCTTGCAAGCACTGCACAGATCCAGTTTCTAACTGTATGGAAAGTTCACAGTGTTTCCCAATAGTATTCCAGCTCTCTTCCAGCATAGTGTATGACAGCTCTGTTGTGTCTTCTGCAAAGGATACTGCCTGGCATGCTCTTCTTCTCTGTGTTTTGAATCTAGAGAAGTGGCACCTTCTGCTTGAACTGGGAATAGCAGTCCTGCAGTGCCTGGTTTTAGTGAGGTGAATCTCTATGTCAGATACAGAGATGCTCTTCACCATCTTCTTTCATTGCCTCTAGCCTTCTGTACTATCAGATGCTTGGTCCTCGTGGTTCTGGAGGAGATGCTGCCTTTGGAGAAAAAGGAGCTGTGCGTAATGAAGGTGAGGTGTTGTACCAGTTCCAGGCTTCTCCCTTTGCCTTTTGTTACACTGGTATAATAATTTTGATTCCTGCTTCCCCAGAAACGTGCACATAAGTGGTCACTTTAACTTCTGTGCACTAGTATGCAGACATCTACATACACACAAGCACGTATTTCTATTTTAGATTCATTTAATCTCTTCATCTGAGGTCTGTAAGCTCCTGTTGTGGGGATGGATCAGTGTTTTCGTCTCTAGATGGTAGGAGGGCAAGTGACCAGCCCTGAAAAATCATTTAGAACACCAGTGTGTTCAGATGACTAGTGAAGAAAATTAAAATCTTTAAAACAATTCCCTGGGTTATTCTGTTGCTAATTCTATTTTCTGAACACATGTGACTCGTGGGCCTTTTTAGCCTTCAAGGCATGACTTCATCTTTGGGATTTCTGGATGTTCACAGAGCAGAGCACACCCAGAGCCCAGCAGATGGCACTATGTATTGGTGCTGAGAGCATCTGGTGGATAAAGTACCACTCAAAGCTGTAAATGCAGTACAGAAGTAGCACCCTGACAGCTTGCTGGGCAAGTTAGAGGTTGATAGTAACGCTGTGTCATCCTCCCCTTACTAAGGAATGAGACCTTCTCTTACACAGCATGCCTCAATTGTGTTGTGTTTGTGTTTCTTCACAGTACACAAAAAAAACTGTTGCCTCCTATGGACAGTCATTGCCCCTAGGGAAATACCTTAGAATAGATCTGTGGCCAGTGGTCAATCATGAGGCTTACTTTGTGTTTCAGAAGGATGTTGCGCAGTGAAAGACCTGGAGGATTTCAGTGTTCGCACTCTGTACGATAAGTTGGAAGATCAGAATTTGCACCTGGCAGCTCAGCTGGCAAAGCACAGGAGGGATGTGTTGGTGTTCTACAATGGAATCAGCCAGCAGCTTCAAGGTCTCATGGTCAGTGTGAAGAAAGAACTGTGGGAAAGCGGGTCTTGAAACTGAAGCTTGCAAGTGGCAGTTTAGTGAATGATAGGTCTTGCTCCCTGCTGGCCCCTGTTTTGGTATAAAATAGTTTATGCTGATCTCTGGTTTGGTGTGAGAGACAGAAAGTGAAATGGATGGATTTTGAGGCTTTTAAAGAATAATTACTGCTTTGTTATAAACAGGACATGGTGCGAGCACTGGATGCTAAGGGCCTGAAAATCCTTACCAGGCAAAGGGTTTGTGGGCATAAATCTGCAGACAGCAGCTGGGCAGCAGTGGGCATGGAGCAGTGTGAGGAGCACTGCAGCAGCAGCTTCTGTGCAGCAGGGCAGGCAGGTAAGAGAAGCACCACACAGAGCAAAAGAGAAGTGGAGTGAGGGAATGTTCAAAAACAGCTCATATCGATGAGATTGTGCCTTCATTCAGTAAGAGCTGACAGCCTGTCTTCACATGAGTTCAGTGAGGATACAATCCTGCCAGCTTAGGAATGGGTGAGCAGAGAGTTACAGCACCCTCCCAAAATTACAGCAAAGCATAATGAATGCAGTGCTATCTGGTCACCTTCCCAGGAGGCGTTTTGGAGCCTTCTTATGGGATTTCCAAAGAAAGATGTCTGTTTTTAGATTTGCTCTGGTGGTGATAACAGTTTTTTGTGTGTTCCTGTAGCAATCCATTTGAATCACTTGTTGGGTTCCATTAGGTGCACTGCAGCAAGAGGCAATGGAATTGATGAAAGCATTGGAAATCCTGCTTGGGAGAGCTCAGCCTAAGAACACGAAACAAGAGATGGAGCAGCAGGTCCATGGACAGGACATGGTGGCAGTTTTACCCTCACTGCACAGTGAAAGTAAAGCAAAAGTAGTGGAAGGGCAGGTGAGCTGCAGGTGTTTGCTGTCGGGCCATCCTTCACCTTTGTGCTTTTTTTTTTTCCCCCACCTGCCCATTTCTTTAACTCTTAGGCCTTCTTTGTTCAGGGTTATAAGCTGCCTGAGCAAGAAGAGCTCTTCCGTAGGAGGGGTGATGTCTTCAGCTTCCCTGTGCATGAAGAATGCGGTAAGTGTGCCATGGTACTCTTCAAAGATGATGGTAGAAGACTGCCTCCTTGAAGCCTACAGACTCCCTTACACCTCATTCTCAAGCAGCCGCTTGGAAGGAAGAGATGGAGTGTCAAGGAGTAAATTAGAGGTGACAGGCAGCTGTCCTGTGCAAGAGAGCAAGATGGAGCATCCAGCTGCATCACTTACCTCAATAGCTGCCATTTTCCTTTTCAGAGAAATGCTTAAGAGGCAATTCCTCAGAGGATATGAGGAGTACCCTCATCCCCATGGATCCAGCCACTTTGTCACCTCACCAGTTTGTGGTGTACCGCTTTGGCTGTGCAGTGGTGCACCTGTTAACCAAGGCCTTCTCATGTCCTGCTTTGGTGCTCATGCTGGCTCAGTCCATTCCTGCCCAAGGTCCAGATCAAGCTCTTCTCCCAGGCTTCGGAGACTCCTACTACGATGCCATTAATAAGAACCTGTATGTGCATGCAGCAAGGCTGGAGGATGCTGGGGAGCTTATTGCTGTCCTCCTGAACACTGTGGCATGGATTGCAGCAGGTAGGGCTGTGGTGAGGAGTGTTTATTCCATGGGAGCAGCACTGTTTGGCCTTCACTGCTTTGCATGTGAGAAATGAGCTCTTGTATTGAGATACCCAATTAAATATCTGCTTTTTTTTTTCCAGGGTCCTGTTCACAAAACAGGCAGGATTTTATGAATCCTGTGAGCACTGGATTTCCTCTTTGTAGCAGGAAATTTGTGCCTTGGATAAGGGTTATACTAGAATCTGTTATTCTGCAAGCACAGGAGAACTGTTCCTTCAGTGTTCTGACTTAAAACAGTTTTGCTGTCAACAAATGTGACTTATTCCTTTTGCTTTGCTTTAGGTTGTCCCTCAGCTGGCGCTGCTCATTCCTGCTTTATGATGGAGCTCAACAGAGCTATTGTGGTTCTCGCCAATGCCTTCTTCCAGGTTTCATGGGGGATAGCAGACAAGGTATGTAGGGTGATTTCCTCTAATCACCTTGAGTGATTAGAGTGACTGCTCCTTGAGGTGTTATTGGGCAGAAATAGATTCTCTAGTTTATAAGGTGGATTTCTATTACTTTTTTTTTTCCTACTTCTACATCACTAGTGCAATTAGAGGTGTTAAGATTAGATAGATGTAATATGAAGCAGAAATGGGGAAACTCTTCAGGTGTACAGAGTTTGAGTAATGCCTCCTTGAGAAGGGATTCATCTGCGCTGCTTGTGCACTGGCATCTTAAACAGTAAAGGATTTAAGATCTACAGCTAAGTCTGGCTTCCTAGGATAGTTGATGACCAGAAACTGTTCACTAGAAACAAGCCAGCTTTTGTCAGTTTTACTTGTTAATTTGCCTGCAAAACTTAGCAGATGATGTTTGGGGATTGTGATGCTCTCTCTGTGCACTGTTTGAATGTGTTGGGTTTCATGTGTTTTTTTGGCTCCAACTTCAGGACCCCTCAGCCTCATCTGATTGCTTTGACATTCAGAAAGTGCTCAAAGAACTTCTGAACATCAGAGTAGCACCACATCCCCGTGTGAAGGGAAAAGCCCTGGGTGAAAGGTACAGTGGATCAACACATTACTGCTAGTGAAATAAAAACATCCACTTCGTGTACAGTTATCTACTTTGGACGGTGATGTGTTACTGTTCTGTTCTGGGTGACAACACGTTGTTTCTCTCAAAGTTTGCAAGGATGCAGGCTGCAACAGCCCCCTCTTCATCAGACCTTGGTAAAAAGTTTTTCACAGACTCAGAATTACTTGGAGATATAGGATGAGACCATTCACAATGCCATCCTGTACATTTTTCTTTTCAGAAAAGAAAGCGATAAAATATGGGGTGTACTTCTGTGAAATGCTCCCTTTCTTATTTCCAGAAGTTTCTTCCTGAAATTTGTACTGTTTCTCTTCCCATTAGGGTGTCTGGACTGCAAAAGTACCAGTGCCTTCATCTGCAACAGGGGACCCTAGACAGGATGGGAAATTCACAGAGAAGTGACTACAGGAGAAATTCAGACTCCTCTTCTGCTAAGGTCAATCATTTATATTTGCTGTTTCTTTTCTGACAGTTGTCCATCAACAGCTTTAGAACTATACCAGATGTTTTGAGTGCACAGGGAAAAACAAACAGTCTAGTGTTTTAGGAAGTCAGTAATATCTGTTGTCTTTCAATTCTCGCCCTATACAAATTGGCAATAGTCATCAAATATCCCAAATTATGTGCATGTCTCTAAATGTCTTCAGAGAGTCCTAATTCAGAAAGTATGAAGTTCTTATGCTCTCGAGATGAACACCTGAACTTCAGATTAATTTTTGACAGTCTTATTCAACCTAAATCAAACATTTCATTGATTGGCCCATGTTTGGAAAGGAGCATCACCTCTGCATCTCTCTCTGTTAAGGCACTGCTAAGGATTTGCTTTCAGTGAGACATCTCCATGACTTGCTGTTATGACATGACCTCTCCTCAGAGTTGGCATGCCTATCTGCCTACCCCTAGGAGTGAGCCCTGCTAGGGGATGCTGCTGTTGTAGAATGTTTGCTGTTTTCCTATTTTGTGTTTTCTAGCTGGAGGTTACACAACTGGAGGAGAGGCTGGATGAACTAAACGAGGCGTTTGTTGAATTGACAGTGCAGGCCATGAGTCTGCAAGAAGATGGGGATCTGTTGGAGAAAGAGCTGAGAACACAGGAGGAGTCACTTGTGGTATGAGTTGTCTTCTACTGGGTCATCTTCCACCAGCCCCAGGGCAATGGCCACAGCTCCTCACCTTCATGTAGGTGTATGCCTGTGTGATTCAGCTTAGCGATACCGTAGAGGTCAAAAGGGTACACAAGAGAGTTGTTTGTGTTGATCAGTTACATGCACACCCAAAGCCCCACGAGTTCCAATATCTTCAGTTGGAGGAGGCAGATTTTTCCCTTTAGCATAAAGGGTAACAAGAAGGAACAAACAGCTTGAATTAAATGATGCGCTTCATAGGCAGAACCTGGGAGCCAGGACTCCCCTGGCCTCATCTCCATGTGTGACACTGGATAATTGTGGTAAATTTTTGTTCATTAGTCTCTCCACTTATTTTTTAAAAACACTGTGTAAGCTACAGTAATAAGCAAATTCATTGAGACATATGAAGAATCCTAGAGTCACCAAGGTTGGAAAAGACCTACAGGATCATGCAGTCCAACTGTCCGCAGCAATGAGGTGGAAAGCAAAGGATTTGATTTGATTAGAGGCAGGTTGCATTATTTTGAAATTGATACAGTGGGCTTTGCAAAGGCCTTAGGGTGCTGTCAGCATGCACAGTGCAGCTCGTCCCATGCTCCTGTATAGGCAGTGCATAGTGCTGGCAGCAGTAGATTCTGTCCCAGATTTTTGCTCCCTGGACTCGGTGGCGTAGGTATTGCTTGATGCTGTCCAATGAATTTACACCCTGCTTTTGCTTTGATTTTGTGTAATAGACTGCAAGCAAGAAAGAAGCGTGGGGAGCTCAGCAGTATTCTGAAATGTTAGATTCTTGGGCCACAAAGAGGGATGAAGCCTTGCTGCTGGAAGTAGAGAGGAACTGCATTGCTCAGAGGATCGAAGAGATAGAAGCCCAGCTATTGCATCTTCAAAGTACAGCAGCCAGCAGTTCACTTCCTTGAGGAACCTAATTTAAAAGGCAATGGCTACAGCATTGATGTGTATGTAATTAGAGAGGCACATGATCAATTATCTTGTGGATAATTCATATTTGTTGGGTTTTTTAGTTGATTGAAGTATACTAATGCTCAGCTATCAATAATGTGTAGGCATGAGGGATAAGCTGAGGTTCTTAACATTTTTCACTAATTTTAGAATTTCTTTTTTAAGTCAGTAAAGCAGAAATGATGTGAAGCCACTAATGGCCCCTACTTAATGTGTTCTGTATAGCCTCTGACATCTGACATCAAGGGTATTTTTGAGGATCTTTTAGGTACAGTTTAGAGCCTTACTTCTAAGCCTTGCCCAGCAACTCCACACTGCTATGCATGTTTTCGGTGTAATCTTACTGATCTCAGTGAGGTGTGAGTACACTTAAATTATTCCCTGTAGTGATGACTGCAGCAATTTGTGTAGCTTCTGGTATAGCTTCCTGCTCCATCTCTTTCTGCACAGCTTTCCTTAGTTCCAGGTGAAGTAGAACAACATAAAATTGCTTGACTGTGAGCCAGTACAATGCCTGGGCAAACCACACAGGTAGGCTTCAGCCAGCTATTTCCAACAACAAAGCCAGTTCTCTTTTCATTCTGCAGTATTTACTGAATTGCTTATGCGTGAAGAAACTTGTGTACCTGCTCTTTCCTGGTTCCTAAACACAAATCTGTCCTTACTCATTCTCCCTTAGCAGAGTGTATTAATTAGAGGGTGAGACTTCAGTGCCAAGGAGCCCAGACAGAAGCCCTCGACTCTGGTCTCACTTACTGGTGTCTCTGGTGGATCCAGAGGAACTTCATGTTCTTTTTCTCTCACCTTCTCATTTTGCTGTTTACAAGTTTTCTGAGCTTGCTTTCAGAAGCAGAAGGTTTGTTTTGGTTCCTTTGCAACCTCACCTTGGGAAAATTCAGTTATTTGCTGACACTTTGAAGGGCCTTTAAGGAAATGAGAGGATTTATGGAAGTCAAATATACCTATTGGCAAACACTATGAAACAGCAGGATTTTCTTTCCTAGATTACAGCAGTGAAAAGGCTGCCATTGCTCTCCTTATTGCTTTCTTCTTTTAGGTTATCAGCAGATACTTTTATAACAGCACACTGCTGTCTCTGTAATATCCACAGGAAAACATCTAGATAGGTGGTAAAGTTACCTCTGCGTGCTCTGTGTGTTGTATTTTTAAAAGGCAGACTGGGAGGCATTAGCAAATAAAATGTGTCAGTTTTTCATTGCAACAGTTTTCTCATGGAAGTAACTTTCTGCTTTGGATTGAAGCAAATATATGTGTGTAGAATTCTGCTTTGGATTGAAGCAAATATACATGCGTAGAACTCTGCTGGAATTTTTCTCTTTTCCCCATTGTGGCTTTCTTAACAAATGCACTTCAGCTATAAGTAAACTGCTTTGGGCTTCAGAACGTGTTGGTTTTTTTCCCCCACAAAATGAAAAAGTGTTAATGAAAAGTCCAGAGTTCCACATGATGTTACCTTTTATGTTCTGTTGGTAGTTACTAGAGGAAAAGAAGAAACAAATGAAATTGGACAAGGCTGAGTGCAAGATGCTGCACTTGGGTCAAGCTCATCCCAGGTAGGATTACAGACTGGGAGAACTCCTTGAGAGCAGCCCTGCAGAGAAGGAGCTTTGGGTCCTGATGGATAAAAGTGGGACATGAGGCAGCAGTGTGTGCCTGCAGCCCAGTAGGGGTGCTTTGGTACACATAGAAGGGTTGTCCTTATCTGCAGTGCTGTGTTCAGGTCTGGGGCCCCTGTACAGGAGGGATGTGGAGCTGGAGCAGGTCCTGGGGAGGGCCTCGAAGATCATCAAAGTCTGGAACATCTCTAGGAGCTCCAGAAAGGTTGAGGTAGTTGGGATTGTTCAGCTTGGAGATGAGAAGGCTCCAGGTAGACCTCATTGCAGTCTTCCATTAGGTGAAGGGAGCTTTAAGCAGGAGAGGGACCAACTTTTTGTACACAGTCTGACAGTGATAGGAAGAGGCAGAATGGCTCTGAAGTAAAAGAGGGGAGATTTAGGTTAGGTGTTAGGAAGAAATCCTTTCCTCAGAGGGCGGTGAGGCACTGCTGCCCAGAGAGCTGTGGGTCCCCATCCCTGGAGACACTCAAGGGTGGGATGGGGCCTTGGGCAGCCAGAGCTGGTGAGGGCAACCAGCCCTGTCTGGGCATTGGAACTGGTCCCCTCCAACCCAAGCCATTCTGTGATTCAGCGAAATACAAAGAGGAGTGGTGCAAGCATGTATTTCATTCTTTCTTTGAAGTATTTATTGCTGGTAGCTCTTTTTCCAGCCCTCTCTGAAGTCTGGAAGTCAAGCACTTTCTGGAGTAGCTGTGAAGTCCCCCTCAGGTTTGGAAGGCTGCTGTTTCCCTGGGACTGCTGATAAAGCTGACGGAGTTCAAGATCTTTTACCTTGAAAGAAAAGGTATGGTGAGATTCCTAAAAAGATCTCTTCAATTAATGGCTTTGTGTGGCTCTAAGTTCTGAAATAAGGCCTTGTCAATCTGGGTAGTATGTAAAGCTAGTCTCTCAGTTAACGAGGCCAGACAGTATTAATGGTGGTGCTTGTTGCAGTGACTGAAGCCCTGCTTGGCTGTGCTCATATAGTTAACACTTGTTTCTCACTCATATAGAGCCAGAAACTTTGAAATACTTATGAAATGAAAGGTCCAACAAAAACATCTAATGAAAATGTTCACTGAGAATTTCATTGGGCACCTGAAATTCAAGTTCCTTTTGGAAATGGTCAAATTGAAGCTAGGATTCCCTCTGTACAGAAAGGAAATTTCCTAACCATCTCAGTTCCGACCTCAAAAAAAACGTTCTTTCAAAGGTTGCTGAGTTCATGACATGCTTTTATCTCTTCCAGGACCTGAAGGTCCCCATGTGGCTGTGCTCGTGCCACTGCTGAAAGAGCATTGTTACTCCAGAGTTCCTGGGCTGGTATGTGAGGTGAGTGTTTCTATAACCTTGTTCCCAAGCCTGAGAGAGTATTGTGCTGGTTTTGTTCTTCCAGAAGGAATAAAATCCTGAAAAGTTCTTAATTTATAGTCAGAATAGGGAGCCTTTCTTTCTAAAACTAAAAAGAAAAAAATGAAAATCCTTGTAAATACTTTTTCATTTTGAAGTTCTGTAGTAACAGCTTAGATGGAGTGTACCCTGGAAGTACCAGAATGTCACTTGATATTTTCTTATCAGCTTTGTTTTCTCTGCTCTCTGCAGCTAAATTGGGAATGTGGGAAGACTGAGAAATGTCACCAAATACAGCAAACAAGCAACCTTGCTTTTGGAGGTTCCATCCACAGCAGGTGAGCCTCTGGCCTGAATGAGGTCTAATACTTTGGCTGTGCCCCCACTTCTGTCCATGAGCACGTTGTGTTTCTATTGCACATAAAAGGAGTCATTCACTTCAGGACAACAGGAATAGAAGTGGGGGTTCCCCTTCCAAACAAACTAGGTAACTATAATAGAGTCAAATGGAAGCTGTTGCTTGGCACTGAGGTTTTGGAGGGCATCTGTATATTTGTTGGCTTATTTCTTGATGAAGTATCTAATTTGTTGGGATGTTCCCAGAAGTCTGACATAATAAATGACTCATTTTTATGAGAAAAGAGTGGTCTTGCTAAGCTGGCACATCAGCAAGTCCATTGGAAGCCAGATACATGCTTAATAGCTTTGCCCAATGAAGCCTTGATCCTTGCAGACACAGCTGTATGCTGAACTGCAGCAACTGGCAGAAGGACAGACTGCACCCCTGCTGCTTTCAGGACCAGTCTTGTAAAGGATTCATCTTTAACTTAGCTGTTCTCTAAAGCTGTTGAAGTAAACGTGTCCTTAGTGCCCTCAATTCAACTTTTACCTGTCCTCCCTGGTAAATAACTTTATCACTTGTCAGTGGGTCATAGCTGCATGGGATGGACCTTGTCCCATCTGTAAGGTTCTAGTAATCCTGCTGATGATCTGTGCTGAGTGCTTGTTTATACACTGCAAAATTAGAAACATATTAAAACTGCATATAATATTTAAGATAAACTTGCAAAAGTAAGAGATGAACCTTTCTTATTCAAGGTTCCTCTTTAAAAAACAGCTATAAAAGCTAATCAGTGAGAGCATAACTTCCCTCTGTAAAACACCCAGTGACACATTGATCTCAGAATAAGTTCACAAACAATTTCAGAATTGCAACGCTTGCTTTTGTGTTAATTATTTTGTTGCTGAAAATATTTCAGATGAAATGATCTCCAGAATGTATTTTTCTAATGGTGGCCCCCACAGGAAAAAAGAGATGTTGGGATGTACCAGTAAGATTCCTTACATGTTGATGACTTTATGCTGAAAATCACTAGTGTTTATGTGAGCTCTGTATGATGGTCTTGGGTGTATTTAATAGTTGTTGTCCTGGAACCCATACCTACCACAAGGCACTGGTGTTCACCCAGCAATTCAAACTGGCTTTGAATTCCTGGCTTTGGAAGATAAAGCAACAACTCTTTTCCTTTAAAATCAAAGAGTAAATCTGTGGTTGTGGTCACAGTGTCATCTGGTTTCAACCCCCCATGTGTTATTTGTTCTGACTTATGTTAATGCATACTTCGTGCCCAGTGGGTAGCATTTCTGTTCTATAAGATGTGCAGAAGTTCCAAGGTGTGCTGTGATGATACAGGAAGGATCACTGCAGGTCACGTTGCTGACTTGCTGCACTGTTGATGGCAGTTAGCACAGGCATGGAAGTGATGGAGGTGCAAAAGCATATTCTGCTGGTATCAGGAAGGTACAAAAGTAGTACCTGCTCTGGATTTGTGGACTGAAGTTTGTTGGAAAACAGCATTTCTGTATGGTAGCACCACAAACAGCAGTTACTTTGCGGCGAAGTTTCCCTGTTTTCTCTTGAATGTACAGAATTCATGCTTAAGAAAACTCTGGAGAAATGGAAATCAGATCAAGGTAGCTGCTTCCTGGGGAAGAGCTCCTTCTTGAGGGAGGAGAAGCTTGGTTTCCCTTTTTGTCTGCTCCTTACTGGCAGTATAGAGGAGAAACCATAAAAAAATACACTCCTATCTACCAAAAGCAACAGACATCAATTCCCTATCTTCCTTCTCACCCATCTGTCAGTCAGTTAAGTTCTGAGAAATGAAAGCCTCAAAATAGCAGAGAAGATATGCTGTTCTCTACAAGAAATCTGCTGCAGCCCCATCACCTATGAGCAACAAAGCAAACAACTTCATATTTCCTAGTTCTAAAGCTGTACCAGGTGTACACCTGTAGTGTTCTTGGAAAAATACCACAAGATTAGGAGAAAAGGTGCTAATAGGTCCGTTTCTTGGAGAAAATGTGCCAAACCAAACACAGATAAAATAAAGAAGGTTGCATTTTGAAAGCTGTTAGTTGCCAGGTGCCCAGCTCTTACGAAGTTGCACTGAAGGACCATTGCATGTAGGGCTGATAGGTTGCCCTGTGTGAGTGGTGCCAGGGGAGATGCCAGCTGATCCCTGGGTTATGCTGAAGAAAACCTGAGTCAATGTGCTGTCCAAATCAGAGGCCTCTTGAAATGCTGGATATTGAGGTCATGCACTTTTCAGTGGGTGTAAGAAACAGCATTTTTCCAGAGCAGTTTGTCTGAAGCACCCAGCTCATTGGGATCCACAGGCTGAGCTTTACTGCAATGTCAGAAGGCAGGAGGTGAGAATTAGCAGAGTCCTGAGTGCAGATCCTGGGCTGAAGAGCTTTGTAGAAAAGTGCCAGATAACGAATGTGCTTACAAATAATGCCAGGGGGGAGATCAGAAGAAAGAGTGGATATTTGTGGTTGAAATTTATATTATGACACTTCT